CTCTCCCGAGATCGATGTCTCCGTTGACTTGTCCTCCTCTGAGAGACGTTGACTGAAGTCGTTGATACAGTGTTGTGTGATCACTGCACCTTTACTCACCTGGTTTTCTTGCCTCTGGCTGTTGATCTTTGGAAACTGTAGTCTTTGGCTTACTGTCAGTTTAGCTCAGCCGAGTCAGTAGCCAGCAAGATGCTTGTCCCCTGGTGGTGCTTTCATGGAGGTAATCAAGGGTGATCCTGTCTTTATTCCCACCACCGCACATGAAAGTAGGCCAGATAGTGGGTAGCAAAAGCTGTGTGTGTGTGTGTGTGTGTGTGTGTCTGTAACTAACATGGCACTGGGTTCTTTTTGGCCTCAGATGGCAAAGAAACAGGCTTTTCGTGCCCTGCAGTCACAACAAATTAGTGAATTAATAAGACATTTGGTGTTGCCTGGCCTTCCTCTTGACTGCCTGCTCTGCATGAAGGGAGCTGGCCTTGAACCTCCACACTGCTGCACTGTGTGTGTGTGTGTGTGTGAGTGTGTGTGTGTGTGTGTGTGTGTGTGTGAACATGGAGGAGGCATGAAGCCCACTGGCCATGGGATTTAAGGTCTCTCAGCCCAACTGTGAATCAGATCAGGAAGACTATGAAAAAGCCACTCAAAATGGAAAATACGTTTTCACAGGCTTTTATTTTTGGCTTTATTATAACAACAAAATGAAAAAAGGGCACATGTAAATTTGAGCGAGCAGCAAATGTTGGTGTAAAACAAAGTTGAAAAGAATATGCTTTAGTTTATGGCATTGTTTCAAGAGCTTGAATTGTCTCACACAGGGCCTGGTGTTGGCCTTGTTTCAGCTCGCAAAATGTCACAACAATGCGAGCACATGCGCGGCACAACATTGTGCTTTTTGAAAGAGTTTCCGTGAAGCTTTTGTGTCTTGTCTCTTTTTTTTCTTTTGCGAGGACTCCAGTGCTGTTTTCGGCAAAAGCAAACGAGGCCTATGTTGGGTCCCTTGTGTGAAAAAGAGCAGGGAGTGCAGGAGGTGTTGGTGTACATGCGTGCATGTGGACAATCCCGAGCACCGTGACGCTTTCCACTACCCTGGGGAAAGGCTCCACAGTGGCACTGCTGCCCATACTCGGTGGCTGAGCAAGGAGGGCCAGGTGGTGGTGCCGAGTGCGGCACAGTCAAGCGTGGACGCAGCGCATGCTGTGACATTCGCCTTTCGCCGACTGCTGCAGGGAGAGGAAAAATCTGCTTTTCCATATGCTTGTGCTCGTCGCAACCCTTCCCTCCACCCACTGCCCCCTCCCATCCCACTGATTCTGGCCCCCACCACCCCCTCTCTTCTCCCCAGTCTCAACCAGATGGCTCCCTGAACATTGTTTACCTTGGGTGACGGTCCCAGATGCAGAGTGTGTCCATCGGCATCCCCATTCCGCCCAGTTAGTTTCCTCATTCCTCTGCTCCCTCTTCAGCTGAAGTGCCAGTCACGGCCCTTACACTCAAGTTGCATTAAGTCTGTCGATTTTTTTTGTTGTTGTGCGGATCGTCTCAAAAACACCACAAGTAGACGCACACATGTACGCTCTCTATCTCTCTCTCAATGACTTTCTCTTTTGCTCAGTGGTTCACACTTGCGTGCGCACATCTCTTCACACCTTCTCGGTCTCACACCAAATACGGAGAAGCAGAGTTTGTTTCCCTGATCAGGGCTGCCGTCTTTCCCCGGCTCCACTTGTTTGCTGTGCATTGTGTGTGCTGACATATGGGAGCTCCCTTATGGCTGCCTATTGACGATTGGAAATAGGCCTCCAGATGTTGCCAGCGCAGAGGGCCAGATGCTTTTAGCACCACTGGGTGGAGCGCCACAGAAAGCCCGTCGTCCCGACAAGCTGTACCTCGCCCCCTTCTTAGACACAAACGCTCTCCTCATTTCTCATCAGTGTTAAATGCTTTTTTCAGATAAAGCGATGTAAATTTCAAGCACCACAGTTGGTGCGGCCAAGAGAAATACAATAATGCAGCAGACCTGAAAGAGAGTGTGTACTGCATGCGTGTGTATGTTCAAGTGAGTGCGGTTTCAACAGCAAAATTGCCCTCATGCCCCCGTTCCTTTTAGTGGGATGTGATTGTGTATAAAATGCAAATTGCCACGAGTGAAAAGCCCACGGTTTACATTCCGCTGATGTCGTTGGCCTTGAAGAGGAGAAGCCCGTGGGCTAGCGGCCGGCGGTGGAGTTACTGCGGCTGCAGATTGAATAGCTTCTTCAATACACATGTTGCACAAGGAGCGGTGCTGTGGATTGAATATGTTCAAGGGCAAGGCCATTGTGTGTGGAGGGAAAAGAACGGAGAGAGCAAAGGTGCAGGTTATCGGGGTGATTGTGATGGTTTACGGTTCAATTGAATTTCCTAAGATTGGACAGTTCAGGCCAGTGACCTCGCTGCAGCCTGCTCTCTTTAGTGGCTCGTACGGGTGAAGTGCTCAGCGCTGCCGTCGGTCCCTGTAAGAAATTGCCATTTTGCACCGACATGTCTTGTTATCCGCTTACAACACAAGGAACTTGTAGTATCATTTACTATAAAAGCCTTTGAATTCTTTAAGAAAATTATAGCACAGTCATTGTAATTCTACAGCAATCATTTTCTAATCAACATGGAAAATATCCTTCCTCCTTTTTTGTAATATATTAAAGAACCATTTAAATATTTTCTAATCATGTCATGGGGGGGATATCCAGTTGCGATGCAGCAGCTGCTGTTGTGCATTGCAATCTCCTCTTGTTGGTGTTTTCAAAGATGCTCATGTGAGATTTTCAATGGAAGCCGGTGACACGGAGCTACAAACTGACGGCCGACACGTCGCCGAGCGTGAACCGGTCTCCACTTTTCTCAGCGCTCCAATGACACAGTGAAGCGTCAATCAACCATATGGTTTAGTTTCACCCTGTTCCGTTCCATCTAAAAAAAAAAGGAAAAGGCCACCAGCCAGTTCCCAGTGCTGTTTAAGCGCTCGAGCAACACTTCAACGGCGACTCGGCCGGTTACGCTCGGCTGTTTTGTTGCTTTTGTGGTTCGTAGTGTCGACATATAGAACCTTTCTTGAAATCTGAAAAGCTTTTAAATCTTTGCGAGTTGATTTCCATCTTTGCCTTTTCTAAAGGTAGAAAATCAATCTAAATCAAAATTTGTATTTAATGTGCTAAAACATGAACATTTACCACAACCATTATATATATTAAAAAAACTTTTACTATGTACAATATTGCTGAAAGTAATAATAAGAATACTTCCACAATTTTGCATTCTTAATATCAGACCTACCAAGTTAATATCAATCAAATATCAATAATGTGGTATATTTCCTGCAGCCATCCTGGCGACATGCCTGTAGACACCAGTAGGTTCCTGTGTGTTGTGCCTTAGAGATCAGAGGGACCATGTAGTGCTCTACTGTGTCATCCAGCGTGAAGCCCATGATATCCTGCATGAGGCTAAACGGCTGGGATTTTCTGAATCCGTCAAACTTCTCCAACACCACATTGAGCGAACACCTCTCTGCCTCAATTAGCACCTTCTAACTTATCCCGCATTCATTGCTTCACTCGTCTCCCTCCCGTAACGCTAACTCCATCAGCACCACCTCCGTTTCTTCATTCTCTCTGAGCGAAGTGACACCGTGTGATAGCGTGTTCTTCACACACGGACATCTTCTCCCGACTGCAGCGACCAATTTTTACAGAGAAAGAAGTGAGAAGTCTCGTAATTATCAAAAGTGCAATAGTCTGTAAATGAATGTTACATTTGGGAACCCTTTAAATGATCCGTATTTTGTCAAACCTGCGTGAGAGACTGTTACAGCTGAAATTTGTAGTACTGTTTCAGCAGATTCAAGTATTTGCTTCTACATCGTATATTATGGGTGGTTGTTTCTTTTAACTTAATTGTACTTTAAGTGTGTGGTATGTGAATGCATAGGCTCACGGTGTGAATATTAGAAGAAGACTCTCTATGCATACTTTATATTAAATGGCTCAGTTGCAAAAAAATACAACATAATGGAATTTATTGCACATCTACTGCTCAGAGCTTATTTAACTTTTTATCTCTACTGACTATTACACTTGTGGTAACAAGGCAAAGTTCAGGAAAATGTGAAATATCTGTTGTATAGTGAGAGAGAATGGGCAGCAAAGGGTTGTTTGGCCCAAAACAGCAGCTTTAACCTCTTTTTGAAGTTGCTGAGAGGTGATGCTTTTGGCCCGTTACACATCATTCCCTTGAACTCAACAAATCCGTAACTACTGGCACGTGTCAGTAACACAGTCATTGCTATTGAGTCATCGTTGTGTTTTTTCTTGTCAGCTGCTGGCACGCCTTCAGCTCGCCCAGCTACACTACCGACCCTAGTCCGTGTGTCAGATTCTGACCATCTGTGTCTGAGTTTCTGTTTAAGGTTAGTCTTCATCGGTGATCGGCAGTAACAGCTGGCTCTGGAGAGCCCTCTCTCTCTCTCTCTCTCTCTCTCTCTCTCTAACCCCCTGCCCCCACCCCTTCCTCACTAACCAGCGGAAACTTCTACAGCTGTCATCTGCTTTCCCAAATGACCCAGCTTTCCTTCCAGCTGCCATCCCAGCGCCCTGCTCCCAGCCCCAGTCTCGCTTCAAGGCTAAGCTCAGTTTTTCTTCTGTATCCTGCCGCAATCGCAATTGAAGGGAGGCCGACATCTACCCTCAATCTCAAACACATTGCCAACTCAGCCACCATCTCGGCTCTATCTTTAAAGTTGGCTGCCAGGTCTTCTTATCCAAAATCATCTCCAAAGTAAAGCCAGATCAGGGTTTAGAAACGGAATCTTTAGTGTGTTTCAAAGCCAGCCCACACATCGTAGCCCCATTATGTGTCCGTAATTTCCCGGCTTGTATAGCTCTTGAGTCATTTCACCAATAGACATTGTTTTTGAGTTTCTGCTACTGTGCATCACTCACTTGTTTTGTTTTTCTCGGTTCCAGGAGCGTCACCCAAGATCATCAAGCTCCAAGAGGAACCATCAGAATATACTGACTCGCCTAAAGGCAAGAGTCCAGCCGCCAACAGCACCTTGGTCCCCGTCAAAGGCATAAATAACCTCGGTAACACCTGCTTCTTCAACGCTGTCATGCAGGTTGGTATAGCGATGCGTTAAGTCAAACCTGAGTAATTTTCCGTGTCTGAATACTGTCAGGGAAGAGACTTATATGAAATATATGCTAATATTTAGACAGAATACATACCCTAGGAAATAACAGAAGTAGGTGTGATTAAAGGTATCCTCATAAACATGAAGCATGATCACATTACTTGAAGGTGGATTTCTCACGACAAGTGATGGCTCTATTTTAAGAGACCCTATGATAGCCTAATGAGTCACATGAGTCAATCAACATGACAATATACCTTTCCGTGTTTCCATTTAGGTTACTCAAGTACTGTACTTACGTACAATTTGATGTACTTCCATTTTATGGAAACTTTATATTTATGTATATTGTGAATGCAGGACTTTTACTTGTAACATAGTATTTTCACACTGTGCTCTAGTAAATAATTGAATCATAAACGCATATTGGTTGTATGAATGTGAATGGTGATGACACGGCAAAAAAGTCACCCTCCCAAAGCATGGTAAATGAGGCTGGCGCCGTGTTTCCAGAGGGGGTCGGGTGGGTTTGCCGACATCGCCGCAGATCGCGTACTGAGGACAGTGCGGCCCGGTTAACAGTTGTGCGGGGAACAGGGTGTTCTGTCACTCACCGCAGGAAGAGAGGGCGCAGCGAGCGAGTTCACGGCCCAGGGACCCCGCCAGACACTTTCCGAGCGGAACTAGAGCCAGTCGCTGTGCCACCCTTTGAGAAAATAATTTCAGTTCATTATGAAACTGTGGCGGGACAAAAAAAAAACTTTTGAAAAGATTGGGAAACACTGCCTTTACAATGTGGAAACACTCCTCAAGTGCCGCTTCTGAAGAGCCTGGCCCGTAGTAAACCAGATGTCAGCCTTACAATGACTGTGCGTGTAAACAGGCTCGGCCTTGAGGTCGTTTTGAAGCATATTCAATGCAGCAGTAAATGCAGTGCCGGCTCGGAGCCGTTCACCTTCCCATACATGAGTGGCACTCAGTTGGTGCAGAGCATGTTCACCGTACACCGCAGCCATAGAGGCGCCCCGGTCTTTCTCTGGTCGTGTCATGGTGACTGCAAACCATCGTGCCTCTTCAACAATGAAGCTGTTTTTTTTTCGCCATTTTGTTAATCACCCTCAGGGCCCTCCTCGTTGATTGAAATTTGAGTGAGCGCGCATTACACGGTGTTCCCTCCCTCTCCCTGTCTGTTTGTGTTGTCTCCTTGAAAATTGCAATCTTTTTGGTGAAAACACGTAATTGTCAGGGGATGAGCTGCGTGTGCGTTCACAATGCCAGCTCCATTGTGCGTTTTCCATAGCAACTGTCTTCATCTTCAGGATGTGACAAAACAAATATCTCTTGAAAGGGAAGGAAGGGATGTGTCTCTAACAAGAAGGGACAATTATGGCTTCAGGCTACTCTCTCCACCAAGGATCTTCTCTACATTTCAAACTCACAGATAATGGATGGATTTGAAAACCACTTTCAGAATAATGAACCCACCACAAGTTCTCTAAATCCTACAATGGCGATAACATTTCTCAAGGGTATTTTAATTGACCACATTCGATTGCCATAAAGCAAACTGTGGATACAGTTCATCATCTTTGAAGAATCACAACTTCTTTTCTCGTCCACAACATTATCGCTGGGTCTTTTCATTTGATGAAGAGTAAACTCGGTGCCTATGACCAATTTCGTGATCCAGTGATTCTATAAATATTATCTGCTGCTTAACGTTGTTGATCTTACAAACGATACCTAATTCCATTCAATGCATGGGTGGATTTAAAATGTTCATGAAATGTTTGCAAAGCGGTCTGAAACTAGTTCTGTTCTCTGTTCTCCCCACAGAACCTGTCTCAGACGCACATGCTCATCGACCTCATCCAGGAAGTGAAGGACAAAGGCTACAAACTGAGGATTGGCCCCACGGTCGACACCAACGTGGTACAGTTTGACGTCCATCTACTTTGTTAACGCCATAGTCTTGTCCAAGATAAATTATGTATTGAACAAATGCAAATTCCTGTGCTTTTGAAATGATCATCTCAATGCTGTTTGTGTCTGACCTGTGGTTCTCTGCTGCATCATTTACATGCATTAGATCAGTGACAGTTGACCAGAACTGAATATAGATTAAATGAGTTAATTAAAAATGTATCTTAAGCAACCTTCATTGTTTGGTATTTTTGGCTTCCAGTCAACTTTCAGTCTAATTTTAAAGGAATGCTTCAACCACCAAATGACCATTTGTATATCTGTTACTCAACCCGGGCTTCCTTGAAATCTTGTTTTTCTCGCATGCCTCCATGGTGAATAGTGAAACAAAAAACATAAAGTTTTGATGAATTGAAACACAGTAAAGAACAAAAGAAACAGCGAAACTATATCCACTGTACCGGGGGTACATTTCTAAATATCTCACCCGATTAAATTATACCAAGGATTAAGTTATGCATAATTGATCAGATCACTCGGCCGCTATCTGTCTCCTCTGCTGCGTCACCCCGCCCCGCCTCAGCTCCACCGACGATCTCCCTCTTTGCCCATTTTTGGAGTTAGGCTGTGTCGTCAGTGGCAAGATGGTCGCGGCCCAAAGCCACCCACTTTGAGCTTCACCATGGCCCTTTAGAAACATATGGGCCATGTTTTATACAGTCTATGGTCGACCCACAAGCCCCGGGTCGGATGGGTTCGGGTGAGCTTACCAGAAGATATCATGGGTTCAGGCTGGTGGGTCAAAAAGTGAGAAAAAGCAGAGTTCCGAGGAAGTTATTAATAACAGAGAAATATTGCGCGCATCTAGTACTTCAAGGCAACACAAGATGAGTATTTGATATACAAATGTTATCCTGTTTTGATAAAGTCTTTTGAAATTTGGAAATAAGTGTTTGTATTCTGTCTCTTCATATTACAGAGTCCGCTGACAGTAACGCTGCCCAGTCCAGAGCCGCTGACTTCGGCCATGTTTCTCTTCCTCCAGAACATGAAGGAACCTGGGAAAGGCCCGATCAATCCCAAGATCCTCTTCAACCAGCTCTGCCAGAAGTAAGGCGCTGCTCTTCTTATCAGTCGCTATCAAATCACCCATGATGATACACCAGCTTCACACTCTGTATGCACGTATTCTATCTTAGGGTCAGTGAAGTTGTCTGACTGTGCCAGCAAGCTGTTAGTATTGCAGTTCTCCGTCATCCCAGCAGCAGTTTACAACACAGGAGCCACAGCTTTCACCTGCTTTCATCCCCTCACTGCAGTATAGTGACCACTTTAACCAGCCAGACCCAGGTAGCACCTGGTCCCAGCTGAACGCCCTTCAACACACACAAAACACACTACGGGCACTGTACCCTATTAAATGTGTAGCAGCAGCAACCCACTTGCAGCTCTATCTGCTATCTTGCCACACTGCTGTGCCACCTGTGTCACATTTGATCCAGAGCAAGGTCCAACAGGCCGTGTGACGGGCAGAAACAGCCCGACATTTGTGAACTGAATGAACAGCTCTTTTATCAGCAGTGTGAATGTTTGGTTGGCTGGGTTCTTCTGTGAGCATGGTACACTGCTGGTTGGGTCCACCGTGTGTGTGTGTGTGTGTGTGTGTGTGTGTGTGTGTGTGTG